ACAACAGTTAACCCTTTTCACCGTACAGAAATCTCATAAAATTTAGATATCAAAACATAATTGTTCAATGATTTTACATTAAAATTAAATTTGGGGTATCAAAATGTAAAATGTATAAAGTGACTAAAGTAGCAATTTTTTACGCAACAATAACTCTACTTCAAATTTATTTATATTAAATTTTAAAAGTTGTAGTTATGAAAATCTCATAAAATTTAGATACCAAAACATTTTATTCAAAGATTTTACATTAAAATTAAATTTGGGGTATCAAAATGTAAAATGTATAGAGAGACTAAAGCAACAATTTTTTACGCAACAGTAAATCTACTTCAACTTTAATGTAAATTGTATAAAGTGACTAAAGTAGCAATTTGTTATGCAACATTAACTCTACTTCAACTTTAAATTTTAAAAATTGTAGGTACGGAAATCTCATAAAATTTAGATATCAAAACATAATTGTTCAATGATTTTACATTAAAATTAAATTTGGGGTATCAAAATGTAAAATGTATAAAGTGACTAAAGTAGAAATTTTTACGCAACAATAACTCTACTTCAAATTTATTTATAGTAAAATTTAAAAATTGTAGTTATGGAAATCTCATAAAATTTAGATACCAAAACATAATTATTCAAAGATTTTACATTAAAATTAAATTTAGGGTATCAAAATGTAAAATGTATAAAGTGACTAAAGTAGCAATTTTTTACGCAACAATAACTCTACTTCAAATTTATTTTTAGTAAATTTTAAAAATTGTAGGTATGGAAATCTCATAAAATTTAGATACCAAAACATAATTATTCAAAGATTTTACATTAAAATTAAATTTGGGGTATGAAAATATAAAATGTATAAAGTGACTTGTTGGGGGCATACAAGGAGTGGCCCAAGTAAGGGGCCCAAGGGGTCGAAATGGGCTGGAAGTGTGGGCCGGGCAAGGAGAAGGCCCGGCCCAGAAGGGGGCTAGAAGCTGTGGTCCAGTCAGAGGGACCGGGCCTGAGGAAGGGCGCATGGCGACAAAAGGGGGTGGCAACGGTCGAAAGCGTACGGAGGGGACAAGAGGTGGGGCCATGCGCCTCCGGGGCAAGGGGCGGTGTCAGAGTGTCGGGGCGCATGAAAGGAAAAAGGTATAGTGCATTTAATGAGATGATGACGTGGGGCGGATTTGGGGGGCAGTGGTCGACCCTACCTCGAGTATAAATAGTGAAGTGGGTGGAGCTCATTTACTCAGGTTACATCTTCTCTCTAGAACTCACACCTTACTTCTCTCTCTAGAAAGGTGGTTCTGACTTGGGCGTCGGACTGCTAACGAGCCCTTGTCAAGGGGTTCGGTGTGCGCCTTTGTGTGCAGGAAGGGAACGTGTAGCTAGGGCACTAGGGAGGCTGGAGGGGCGTGTGGATCGTCCAAGGCGGAGGTCTTGCGTGGCACAAACATGACTAAAGTAGCAATTTTTACGCAACAGTAACTCTACTTCAACTTTATATATATTAATAGTTTGATAGTTTTCCTCTTGCTCGTGCATATAGGGGTTTGAAGTTTTGGGGGTATCAATATGTAGAGATGCTTGTTCTTGAGAGGCGCCATAGTATTTACTATTGGTATTGTCGGTGTCTAATGAAATTTTGATCTAACCATAGAAAAAAAAAAGGCATACTGAATCAAAAGATAATACTGAAGATTTTGATACGACGAAACATATCGAAATATATCTAATGGATGTGAACACATGCATATATTACAGATAAAGATGAGATGTATAATAGCATAGGTATACATATAGGTATAAACAAGTAGAATGAAATCTCATTTTCAAATAAAGAGATCTTAATGTTTGTCTTCAACTTATTAATCAAATCCTGAAATCGCCCCATCATAAAGTATATAATATGCTGGATTAGTAATTAATTCATTCGTTAATCGGGGACCATACACCAAGGAAGGAGGAGAGAAATAATGGTTTGTTTAACATCAACCGTACATATTGTCAAGCGGAACAACCAATACATTTTGATTTCTCTTTTTATAAACAGACATCGTCCAACAAGTGCATGTCACTTGCCCCCATAACCTAAACAACTAAATATGCCGATCCAAGAATTATTCCCTCTGCAAATTTTGAAAAATTCCCAGATTATACAATTCCATATACATTTTTACATCTTTCTTCCCTAGAAATTTAGGATTTTTTCCAACGCATATCAATTTTAATGATCTTCAATCCAAATATTAGGTACATAATCATTCACCCTTATTGTCCAACATAAGTCTCCTTCATCTCGAGCCAAGAAAGTTCCAAAATAACATCTAGTAATTTAGATCGATGAGCCATACATTTTGCTTTTTGTGGGTGTAAATCACTGGTGAGTAAAAGTGCTTACGAAATAAATCATTCTTCACGTTATTTTGATTCATTTACCATCATTACAATATCGTTATTTTGAGGATTTAAATCGATAGTTGACTGCTTTGGATGGATGTATCCGGAAGACATATTCAAGAAAATTCAAAATTAAAGAAGGAGGCAGGGCAATGTCATCGTTCAAGAAAGAACTGGAGAGGGACGTTTGAAGGTATGGTGAGTCTGTACGAAGTCGCGTATCTCCGCGTGCACGGAGAGACGATACTGGACGAAGCTATCGAATTCACTGTTGGGATTTTTAGTGGTGTGAATGGAAATGAAAGGGGAAAGATCCAAGAGAGTCTCTTGAAGTACCATGTTGGTAAGATGTGGGAAGGCACGGCCTCGAATTCGATCGATTTGATGTAATATGTGGTTAATTGGTTAAATTGGTTTGTGTAACCAAATGAACCAAACCGAGTTGAACCAATTCGAACCGAACCGATATGGCGGTTGGAATAACCAAACCGGTCCAACTTCCATGAGGCCGAACCAATGCAATGGTTGAAATATTTTAAACGAACCAATGCAATGGTTGGGGTGTAACCACCCATATGAAGAGTTGCCTCCCTTCGTACGCATCCCTTCATTTTCTATAAATAACACCTAACCCCCTCTGGTTTTTACATCGGTTTTTTTCCGATACTAAAATTCTGTCAAAATCCAAAACTAGTATTTTGCATTCTTTTCAAAGAGAAAATCGAGTCAAGTGTGGTTCTCGCCGATTCGCTGCGTTCGATGGTTTCCGGGGTTTGAGGTACCGCTACGCCGGAAAAGGTACGTCCTTTCTATCGATCCTGGGAGGAATCATTCCATAACCTTGGGTACTTGAGGGGAATAAGATTCTTTAAGGAGAGATAGTGAATTCTATCGGCTAGGATGCTTGCATGTGTCTTTGCATATTTTCTTAATCTTATGGATTTGCTTGTGTTGCAAGAAAATAGTATACGTGAACAATTTTCCCAACATTCACAACCACTCGCCTGACCGAGTACTCAGACGAGCTGCGGCAGCAGGGCCAGCAGGAGAGCCTGGGTTACAAGCTCTTAGTGACTTATTTATCCACCTATTTATTTACAACAATTGATGAACTAATAGAAGCAGAATTATTTATGTTTGTATTAGATTAGGTCTGGATCCGTCGACTGTCGGGCTTGAACCCACAGCTCTGCCGCGTTCATAAAAGGCGCTACATGCTCTGCTCGTCCGGCGCTATATTTTATTATGTGCAAAAAGATGCTCCACTGTGACAGCGGGCCTGATTAGCACGGCCATGTGTATAAATTAAGACAAGTTGTTGAGAAACCAAACCCTAGGCAGGTATACGTACGTGGGTATAGTTTGCTTTTTTCCTGGGAATGGGTTGGTATGCGTAGCAATCACCCAAATAAGGGCAACTTTACTACCAACGTGAAACTGCAAAGTAAGTATGTCGTTCGAAAAAGAGGTTGTGAAAATGATGATTTTTTTTCCCCCACTCCTACCTACATATATACTTTAATCATGCAAGTTGTTACTTGTAGAACACCTACTATGCAAAGTGTTAGGAAATTGTGAGGTCACACTCCATGGAAATTACGTTTCCCACTTAAACTAGTGTCTTAATTATATTGAAAATGAGTAGGATAAGTTGTTTGATCACTAGGGTCTAGGATATATATATATATATATATATATATATATATATATATATATATATATATATAAAAGCTGGTTGAGCATAAGCATTTATTTGGTTGCTAGATCTTGAGCATAACTGCATTGATTTGGATGCTAGATCGTTGTTGCATTACCTGAAGGCTATTTTCTCATTTAGGCTGGACCATCATTGCAAACTCTTTTGTTGATACGTGGAAGTGGATCGGAAAGCAATACATTAAAACGAGGGCCATTAAAAATGTCATTGAGGTTCTAAAGTAATATTGTCACCTTATCGTCGTGCATGTGATTCTTTCTAGGAGCAGTTAGAACACAATGACAAGTACGACCACATGCACAATCATGTATGAAACGATAATTTCCTAATTGATGCTAAAGAGCATGCTGCTTGGGGAAATGATGTGAAACACCGAGTGTACCTTGCTTGAGAGGAAAGATTAATTGTTGCAACAAGTCTGCAATACGAAAATAATCACTTTGAAATAATTGTTCATGCAACTTGTTCCACTCACCAGCAATAGTGATAATGTACAAAATACTCTCATAAATCGTCGGATTCACATAGCGTTGAGTTTAGAGATCTTTCATTCGAATGCAGGATCTTGCCGTTCAGAAAGCCAATCTTGTTCTTCTCGTCGAGAACAAGAATCATGGACCACTCCCAATTAGAGAAATTGTATTCAGGTGTGGAATTCTCGTCTGTGGGAAGGCATATGTGCCAAAAGCATGAGAGGAAGCAAAAATGAGCAAGTTATGGGCCCTCAGTTTTCTTGTATTGTGCACTTCCGTAAGCCCAATTGCTACATAAACTCATACCAGTCTATACTGATGGGCCTACCGATCCCAACTGAGCCCTGTTGACTTGCTCATGAAAATTGGACGATCCTTTCACGATGGTTGGGCCTAAATGGGCCTTTAATGCCCATTTTTAGAGCTCCTCTCTCCTTCTAATCTCCAACAACAAAAACTCAAATTTGGAAAGAGTTGGCGGCGGCGGTCTACCAATCCTCAATCGAATTTGGAGCCATGATGCCGCCGGTGGAACAAGGAGAAGGTACTGAAGCTGCACACAAACCAGAGCAAGAAGAAAAAGTAGCGGCAGCTCAAGAATCAGAACCTGGTTTACGCGGGGAGTTGGAAGGGGCGGCGGTGGCGGCGGCGACGATGAAACCTTGGGAGCAGCACGCAGGGGTCATCAGCTTGCCCCGATACGATTACAAAGCTCCATCGTCGCTTCTTCACCACTCCCACTCTGGCTTCTTCATTACCTGTTCAATAAGTACTGCTCTCCTGCTTTCCGTTACTTTTAAGTTTTTCCCCCTGGCGACCTAGATGTCTTCTCCCAATTTTGTGAATTAGGTTGTAATTTCATGACATTGTTCTTTCATCGCTGGTGTGACCAGAAGCTATATGAATTTGGAGTTTTCAAGTACTGATTTCTGTGGATGGCAATGTTCGATTGGAGTTTTGAGTCCTAACGATTCATTTCTATGTTCTTTACAGAGAGGGAAAAAAGTGCTACCAAGGAAGTCATGTCCATCCTTGACAAGGTTTTCTTCCTCACTTCAAATGGTTCTTCAGAAATTTTATATTTTCACTTCTGATGCTTGATGCCTAAGTTATTTCATTTTACCACGCCTTCCCTAGCATAGTACTGTAGATCAATCAGCCTACAGCCCTACATATCTAGACTGTGCTTTGAATTATTTTTTTGTCAAATTCTTTTTGCAGTCTGTCGGGATCGGTAACAATGGTAACCCTAACGATGTTGTCGAAGCTCTAGCTCCAGATGTAACCAGTAAGAGAAGAAAAGTTTCTGAAGATGAGAACTTGACTGTGGAAGTGAAGAACCAGGGCAGTGTAGAGGAGAAAGGTACTGAATTTTAACCATGGATTTTTTTTTTTTTTGGCTACGGTGTTGTGAACAAAAAATTTCTGTTCATTAAAAGCACTTGATTGATATTTGTGACAGGCGAGGTTTCAGAAGTTACGCCTCCTGTTCTTTCAAAGAAAGAAATAACTGAAGATAAGGCTTCTGTTCTTTCGCTAGTTAAGCTGATAAAAAGTGGCCTGATCCTCCTCATCTTTCCTAGAGAAGCTTCTTTCGACACTGTTGATGCTGTGTCGAAGACTTTCCTCGACATTGAATCTGGGTGTTTGAAGCCACCAATGTAAGTTCCTGTCTTTCTTTTTGCCATTTCAATAACTGAAAGTTGTTGTACCATCATGTTTGTGCCGTTCCTTTTTGGCATATTTTATCACATTTTACTCCATTGAAGGTGAAATGAAATGACATATTAGTGCAGCTGGTGTCACCGTATATTCCCGATCCAAGCCACTTGTTCCCTGAATGAGAAGGACCTGCATGCAGTTGTCAAGAAGCTTGTTCTTGATTTCTTACATAACAAGCAACACAAAACTGCACAGCCACTTAAGGTATACTGTTTGCTATGCATAATTATTAAATAACTGATGAATTCTTCCCGTTAACCGTAGGAGTGAAGTTCTGTTCTTTTTCCTTTCTTTGTCTAGTTTGCAGTTGGTTACAACAGAAGAGGAATGGAAGAGCAGAAGATATTTGCAAGAGATAATATGAAGGATTCAGAAGTTGTGTCAATGTTGGACAGGGATAAATGTTTCCGTGTTGTTGCTTCTGCTGTGAAAGAAACTATACCAGACTCCGCCATTGACCTGAAATGCCCAGATGTAAGAGAAAACTCTTTCTTACCACATATTTCTGTATTTCGATAAATTCATGTGTTCTTTGGAGTGGAATGGAATGGCTTATCTACTACGTACCGACATTGTTTCAGATTTCGGTTCTGGTTGAGCTGCTGCCACTGTCTGGAGTACCCGATGGATCATTGATAGCTGCTGTGTCCGTCCTTCCACAAAACCTCACAAGTACAAAGCCCCGGCTCTGCGTTAAGCCGTTGGTCTCTGAAGGCAAGGGAAAGAAGGGAAGGAGTTGAAGCTGCAAAGAGGGGCAAGAAGTTGGTGAAATAGGAAGGTAGAGAATTAGGAGGGGAAAGTATGGACTGGTATTAGATTTGTGAGAGGTACTTCAGTTTTGGGTTTGATTTAGAACGAATTGGGTCCGATACAAGTCTCAAGCTTGTTCTCGGATCCTGGGGATGGGTCTCCGTCTTGTACGTGTTTAGAGTTAGACTTAAGACTTTAGATATGTTGTGTCATTTGCCTAATATGTGACTATTACTATTTACTGGTTAGTACTTACAAGTTAAGACATAATAATCTACAAAATTGCGAAGAAGGTTTGGTTTAGTGGTATTACCGTCGATTTTCAATAAACAGATTTCAAATTTGAATTGCAGGGTGTGATAGAAGATGTATACCTGTGTTGAGTACTAATGAGAACTAAAGTTGTCCTTCACAAAAAAAAAAAAAAAAGAAAGCTACTGAATTGGTAGTGTGAGCAACAATTTGATTCACAAGTAGAATCCATATTTAGATCAAATCCGGTATCATTTGATCCTAGCAACTCTCTTAAAAAGAAAGAAATTCCTAGAGAGAAATGTATTTTTGGAACAGACCAAATGCAGTTAAATAAAATCCCATTCAGATTTCAGATCCTCGTCTTAACTGTTTTTGACGTTGAATCTATTATGTTCCCAAATTCAATCTGATTTTGTAGGTAACCAGGTTATGTGAATCTCAGTGGTAGACCAACGTAACCTTGGCTTGGAGCGATGGGCTCAAACAACGAGTCGGTTGGTCGCCGGTGAAGTCTACAAACCCACATGGCAACTAAACTGAAGAATCCACACAAACCAACACAGGTCCCTTCTTTCCCCTTGCTTTGCTGTTGCTGCTGTGTTGGTTTTCATTCACAAAGACAAAAAAAAAAAAAAAGGAAGAGCACAAGGGGGAAACACACGAGAATAAGGCTCCGTCTCCGTGCGGCTGACTTTGTCTTGTTGCCACCTGTGCACGTGCGGACGACATTCCCATTTTTGTCCCACGCGCGTTGCCGACGACCGGCGCTGTCCTCCCTGCGAAGTAAGTTAACTAGTTAAGTAGATAGAAGAAGTCAACGAAAACCCCCCGTGGTTGAATCGTGTTTCGGATGATGGTCTTCAGAGACTATAATTAGAATGTTTTAAATTATTCTCTGATTAAATGCATATACTGAAAGAGTTTATTATTTTGTCTTATTTTTCTGATGTTTCTACGAACCAACATAAGCTTCAATTTATCATTACAAAATTGCAATCACCACGGATAGGGTCAACTTTTATATACTAGCCTTCACAGACTTTTTTTTTTTTTTTTTAATAATGTAGGAGCTCTATCTAGCTTTGAATTCGACAGCAACAAAGAGCAAGTGAAAATTCATCATCAAGCGAGTTGATGTACATTTGACTTGATTCCATCCTCAAGGTCAAGGATGTGGGCTGGTTATTATATTATTATTATTATTATTATTATTATTATTATTATTATTATTATTATTATGTGGTTTAAGTTTGTAAACCATCGTCAAATTATTACTCTGAAAATTAATCATAGCTCTAACAGATAGGTAGCTAGTCAAATGCACATTAGCGCGTATCTATCTTGATTCGTATCTCGTCAACTATCACTCTCTACCATCGACCAATTAAGCTATTTCGTCAACTAATTAACTTGAATTTATGTATGTGCGGATAAAAAATGTTCGGATAAACAAAGAATTCAAATAAACAACCTTGAAAATGTTGAATGAAAAAGCTCAAGCGAGATTGGAATATAATTTTAGGTGATAATGGTCGTTACAGAAAAAGCTAGCGACAAATAACACTGTCAGATTCTTCCAAATAAATAGCCAGTGATCATATAGGCATATACATCCTAACGTATCCAACTCGATTCGTATATCGTCAACTACCACTCTATACCCTCAACCAATTAAGCTAATCTCCTTAATTTTTATCCATCCATCTTATGTACACATTTAGAAACTTACTCACCTCGAAATGAAAATCTGTATCAAGCTGGAAAAAAAAAAAGCTCAACTAATAAACTTATTAGAAACAATTTGATCACCTCTCTGTCTTTACTCCTTTCTTTTCCCCCCTCATAATTCAATTACCAAAAAAAACAAAATAACAACCAACCACACAAAATATGACGTTGGCCGACGTAACAATTTCCCCCCCAATCCACCGCACCAGTCCACACACCCGGACTCCAGCAAGCATCCAACAAGGAAAAGGATAAGAAAGAGGTTGGTTTGGCAACGTGGAATAAGCCAATTGGTTGACGATTATGGCGGGCCCCGTCGTTGCCTCCTTCCGTCCCCCGGTTCCATTCCATTTCCGTTTTGGAACAGAATTCGCGGGAATTCTGACGTGTCCCCAATCACCCGCCTTAATTCCCCCTCCACACCTTTATATATATTTAAAAAAAATAATCCACCCCCTAAATCAACGACTTCCACATAAATCTCTCACACTACCAAAGCAGAGCAACAAATCCTCCAATTCCAATTCCCATTCCCTTCCACCCAAAATTTATTGTGGTTTCCCCAATTTCTTCTTTCTCCTCCACACACAAGACAAGAACCAAAGGAAGAATCGAAATCAAATCGGATTCTTACGCAGAAAGAAAGGAAGAAAGGAAAGGGAAGAAGATGGGATTGTCGTCGTCGGAGACAGTATGCAAGAAGCACCCGGGGCACGAGGAGAAGCGAGGGGTCTGCCCTTCCTGCCTAAGCGACCGCCTCTTCCACCTCAACCACGCCGTCGTCAGGGGTAAACCAGCCGCCGTTCATTCCTCTGCCGCTGCCGCCGCCTCTTCTTCCTCCGCGTCCTCGAGTCACGATGATTACCACGACACCGTTGACAACAAAAACAACAACAACAACAACAACAAGCCGCGGAAGGCGGCGGCGGAAGAGGAGGAGGAGGGGAAGCGCGTGGGACACACGCACCGCCGGAACGCGTCGTCGACCGAGATAGGGACCGTGTCGATGAGGGTGGGGCCACCGGCTGCGGTGTCGTCGTCGTCGAGGGGCGGCAGCGCGGGGTTGAAGAAGTCCCGGTCGGTGGCGGCTTCGTACTCGTTCGCTCCTCCGCCGCCGAAGGCGATCAGCCGCCGCGTTGACGTGGTCGTCCGCGGCGGCGGCGGTGGGGAGAAGGTGTTTAGTGATTATTATTATGGTAATAACAACGGGAGCGGCGGCGGCGGCAGAGGAGGGAGTGATTATAATGGGTACGGATCAGGAGGGAAGAAGAAGAAAGGGTTCTGGACGAAGCTGCTGCACCTGCACCTCAAGGGGAAGAACAAGGAGGCGCTGATGCATCATCATCGTCCTGCCATGGAGGGAAGAGTCTGTTGATCTTTCTTCCTTCATATCTCTCATAAAAATAATTATGGGCTCGATCGATCGATCGATCGTTTTCCAACTGGTTTGCGTAGTAGTAATTAATTGATTCAACAATACTTGTTATTTTTCTGTCTCAAATTTTAATAGTAATAATCGAATTATGATGCTTCTCAATCTAATTGTGTCTGTCTGTGTAAATATTTGTGCTTTCCCATGTTCTGTTTGAACATCTTTTAGGTTGATTGTTGAATTTGGTGGCATTGGGAAAGGGGCTCTTCATCCCTTTGCTTTTTCTGTATCTATACACACTATATCATCTTTGTGATTCAGACAATTTGGGTTTGGAAATTCAATTTTCTTTTATTGCTTTTTATGATGTCACTCAAACATATGTTCAACCTATTTTCGATCAAGAGACATCGATCGCTTTGGGTATATAGATGCGTTGAGCACGCTTAATTCATACTTCTTACAAAAACTCTTAAAATTGATCCAAAACACTTTATTTTTAAAGGTAAAGCCGGACTTCTTACTTATAAAATCATGGATCTCTCCCCGTATTTGTAGAATTTGCCTAAAAGGTTACGATATATAACTATGTAGCAAATGATAGGCAAAAAATTGTCCATTTCATTACGAAAAAAAGGATGATATCAAAGTGAGAAATTATTGGTCAATAGTTTTGAATGGTTTAGTGGGAATCGTTAATATTACCAGATTTGTGTGGGGGTGCAGTTTGATCAGTAGATTGAGTGTGAGGTTAACGTTTAATCCAAATAAGTTCCAAGCAAGCGAATGTATGAAGAAACAGGAAAGAAGCTGTGCCTGCCTAGCTAGCTTGCAAGTCAACTAGAAGACAGGAAGGAGAGTTTTCCTTTGCAAATGTTGGTTGAGGTGTTGGTGGTCCAATTCTTTGACTTGAGGGCTGCGGGCGGCTAATACTAATAGTCTAATACTAAGGGGTCGTTTGCTTGTGGGATTTGGGTGATGGATTTGGAACCCAAATCCCAAGCATCATAGAGTTGACACAAATCCTTTGTTTGTTGAGGGACACAAATCCGTGGGGTCCACGGATTTGGACCCATTTTTTAGATCCAAATCCGTGGACCCCACGGATTTGTAAATCCCACATTTCATTTGGGATTTGACAATAAAAGGAAAAAATGTGAGACAAATCCATCACAAATCCATGATACAAAATCAACCAAACAAACAATGTACTCTTCCAAATCCATGATGCAACAAATCCATCATAAATCCAAAGGTTTTTAAAACTCAAAACCTTCATTTTCAAATCCAACAAGCAAACGAGCCCTTAAATCTCGTCTCGTCTCGTCTCGTCCATTCAATCCCCCACGTTCGCTGTCTTTCCCTTTGGCCTTTTCTAGGCAGCAATTTGGGGTTCCTAATAAAAGAAAAGAAAGTCATATCTTCCCATTCTCACCACCCGTGCGGAACTCGGAGGGATCGGTTTAGGATAGGGTGCATGATGCACATTTACCGGATGAGAATATATGGGGTTTCTTATTTTCTATAGCTTTCTTAATCGATTTATATTTTCATCCTTTTGATTCGAATTTTTTTTTTTTTTACAGATAGAATGGGTTCGTTGTAGTCGACAAAATGATATGTATTTTCGATGTTCATATCACTCTTTACTACTATGGTACCACCTTCGTTTTTAACTCGAATTTTGAATAATTTTGTTCAGAAGGAACGAGTTCATCGTGATCTGTTGGATCTATTAATTTTGGGAGGAAAAAATTCCAGGACCAAATATACCACTTTATACCACCATGGTATAGGGTGGTAACTGGTGGTAGACGATGATGAAATATGGTAAATGACAATTAGTATATTCCTACTATCATGTATAGAATCGTTCTACACTATTGTATATTCATACCACAAAGGAACAATTCCATATCACGTTGTATAATCATATGTGCATATATACCAA